CTCTACCACTTGAGCCACAGCGCCACTTCCGGCTTTTCTCTTTTTGCTTATGTGGTGCTGAGGAATCGAACCCAGGGCCTCATGCATGCAAGGCAAGTGCTTTATCACTGAGCCACCTTCCCAGCCCCCCATTTCCTTTCTGTGCAGAGAGCCATCGATTTTTTTCCCCCCTGCCTGTGCTGGCCGGGCCCATATTCCTGTCAATCACCTGTAGTTTGGGATGTGAGATACACACCGTTGTGCCCAGTTATGGGTTAAGAATAGTTCTCGTTGGGCTGGGAAGGTGGCTCAGTGGTAGAGCACTTGCCTTGCATGCATGAAGCCCTGGGTTCGATTCTTCAGTACCACATAAGCAGAAAAAAGCTGGAAGTGGTGCTGTGGCTCAAGTTGGTAGGGTGCTAGTAGCCTTGAGCTGAAGAGCTGAGGGATAGCCCCTAGACCCAGAGCTCAGGCCCAAGACCAGCAAAAAAAAAAAAAGAATAGTTCTTGTGAACTTTTCTGCCCTGCCTAGCCTTCAATCACAATCCTCCTGTTTTCGGCCTCCCAAGGAGCTATGATTATAGAGTAAGTAAGCTTCCAATGCCCAGCTCTGATTTATTTTCCATCACTGCCTGAGAGACAGGGTCTACAGACACAGGGCAAACTTCGGATGGGGAGGGGTACAGGGGGAGGCATCTTACCGTCTCATTACCCACTACGCTCCACTGTCCCAGGGGTCTCCTTTTGCTCATACATTTATCAACTACAGCAAGAAAAGGCTCCTGCATCCTCCCTGTTGATCAGGTTCTCAAAGCGGGGAAGGTAAAGCCTGGACATCTAGCAGGGGATGAGGATCATATTTGAAAAAAATACACAAAACTGGCAAGAGGAGAATGTCACAAAGAAGGAACACTGCATGGGTCTCAAAAGCAAAAGGAGAACAAAGAAGATACACAGCCCTTCAAACTGTACTCAAATGCTTTTACATTCTGCGTGAATTTCAGGGGAAGGAAAAAGAAAGACGTAGGATCTTCAAAAGTGAAACTCCGTTGTGAACAATTGTCCTGCATGAATTCAGACAGTATTTGTATTATTGTAGGGACAAAGGCTCAGAGGACAGAGTTCGTCTTTGTGCACAAGGAAGTGTTTCTGTAATTTTTCCCCCTGTGGATGGAGGATACCACGTGCAGCATATCCAATTACAGTGTCATTCATTAACCTAGGTTAATCTCTACAAAGAACTCAAAGTCCAGTTCACCGAGAAGTTCATGCCAGTCTTTAGTTTATCTTACAGAAAGAAAGAAGCCAATAAAACCTAGATAGGGGAAAAAAAAAGAAGAAAGGAATAAATGTGAAGGAAATTAGTAATAGTAAAAAGAAAAAAATCTTAGCTACTTAGGAGGCTGAGATATGAGGATTGTGGTTTAAAGCCAACCAGAGTAAGAAAAGACCCAGAGACTCTTATTTCCAATTAACTACAAAAAAGCCAACAATGACACTGTGGCTCAAGTGGTAGAGCGCTAGCCTTGAGCAAAAGAGCTCAGGGACAGCACCCAGGCCCTGAGTTCAATCTCCAATACAGGCACATACACAAAAAAATATACTGTTTCATTCCTGAAGAGTGATATCAATTAAAATAACGTATTTACTGTTCCTCATGCATACCGATCTTATTGAATGCTTCTTGTAGTTCCTCAAGCTCCTCCCGAGAGATGGTGGTGGCACTGTTTTCCATTCTTGGGCAGGAAAGGCTTTTTCAGGTCCTTCTTCAGATCTAGGAGAAAAAAAAAAAAAAGCAATGTCATAAAGAGAATGTTTTAAGGTAGGACACCCATGGCTCATGCCTGTCATCCCAGCTACTCAGGAGGCTGTGATCTGAGGATCGCAGTTCAAAGCCAGCCTGGGCAGGAAAAACATGAGACTCTTATCTCCAATGTACCACCAGAAAACCGGAAGTGGCGCTGTGGCTCAAAGTGGTAAAGTGCTTGCCTTGAGCTGAAGAGCTGAGGGACAGTGCCCAGACCCTGAGTTCAAGTCCTACACCCGACAAAAAGAAAGAAAGGAAGAGAACATTAAACCATGGTAACAGCCAGAGAAAGAGCATTTGGAGCTGAGCAAGAATAACTTGGGTCTCTTTGTAATGTTCTACCAGTCTACAAGGCCAATAATAACTATGAGTCAGGAAGGCTACCTTTGCTCACCCTGTGCTTATAAGGCACAAACTTTCCTCCCAGGATACAATTCTCATTTACACTCTACCCCACTATTTCGGTAAGAGAAGCCTTTCAAGTTTGAGAAAAGTCTCGCAATGACACATAGGAAGGATGAAGTCTGAAGGTCACACTTCAAAACCCTGAGTGACGTCCACAGAAAGGGGACGTTCGAGTCAGCACATCTGGAGAAACAACCCTGCCATTTCTACACGGGTTCCCCTTCTCTGCATGACATGACCCCCCACTCTTGGACCAGCGGACCTTGCTAACTCTGAGTACACAAGACAAATGAAAAGGGAAAAACAAAGATGTACAAGTAGGCTGTAAGAAAACAAGAAGGCGAGGTTGGGATATGTAGTGAACTGCGGGAGAAAAACGTTTCCCAAAGAACATTAAGATAACCCATGATCTCACTACCTAGAAAGATCACTTCATAACCTTCTGATATCGTCTTCTGGTGGGTACATTTCAGGGAGGGAGGTGAAAAGGAAGAACATTATATAACTTTTTCTTTTTTTAATTCTTTTTTTCCCACCCCTTTGGTGCCAGTATTGGGGCTTGAACTGAAGACCTGGCTTGAATGTAGCTTTCCCATTGAAGGCTTGGTACCGTACCACTTGAGCCATAGCTCCACTCGTGTGGCATTTTGGTGGTTAACTGGAGACAGTTTCCTGAAGTTTCTTACTGGTTTCAAATGATGATCCTCAGATCTCTGCTTCCTGAGCGGCTGGGATTACAGGTGTGGCCCACAGTGCCTAGCCTTAGCAGGATTTTTAAGGACAACCCCATAGGTCAGAAAAAACTTCTGTTTCTGTCATCGTTTTCTTTGTAAGCTTTGTGGCAGTGGTTACCTTGCCTGTCCTTGCCCCTGCTCACGACCGGTTTTTTCTCTTTCTTGCTGCAAGTTTTAAAAATAGTGGTCCATTTTAGCATTGACGTTACACAGAAAGGCTGTAAATTAACAGTTCTGGTATTGACCTTGCATTTGAAATGAGAAAAATAAGACTAGGACTTTATTCTTTGGCCATGCCTATTCAAATGTATGGAATTCATTAACCTAAAATGATTTTATTTTCCTATAAATGGGCAGAATCAATATGGAAACTTGTTGAATAGAGCAATTTACCCATAATACTTTGTAAAAAAGAGAAAGTCCTCGACGACACTTTTTTTTCTAGAGGGTTCTAAGGTATTTCCGCTGGTTGGTAACTCTGCAGATGTCTGGGTCCTCTCCCCTTCTTTGCAAATCACTTTTTTATTGGGGGGGGAGGTAACAATCCTGGGGCTTGAACTCAGGGCCTAGGTGCTGTCCCTGAGCAACTTTGCTCAAAGTTAGTGCTCTACCACTTGAGCCACAGCTTCACTCTGGCTTGTCTGGTGGTTCATTGGAGATAAGAGTCTCAAAGATTTTCCTGCCAAGATTGGCTTTCAACCATGTTCCTCATATCTCAGCCTCCTGAATTGCTAGGACTACAGGTGTGAGCCACCAGCTTCTGCCTTGCAAATCACTCTTCTCTCCCATCACCACCCTTCCTTTTTTTACTATGCTACTTCCTATTTTTTTACTCTCCATTACAAATTTAAAAGATGGCAAGGTCCTGGAATCAATCGATCTGTGAAAAAAAAGAACTAAGTAACATAATTTAACTGAAGTGTTCCTAGGCATTTAAAAGAAAACCTGGAAAATGTTTTTATCTATCTATGAGGGTGTGGCTCAAGGGACAGAGCACCTGTGCCTAGCAAGTACACAGCCCTGAATTCAAAGCCTAGTAGAGCCAGAAATACAGAAAAAGAGAACCCAAGCTGGGCACCGGTGGCTCACGCCTGTCACCCTAGCTACTCAGGAGGCTGAGATCTGAGGATCATGGTTCAAAGCCAGCCCGGGGAAGAAAGTCCATGAGGCTCTTATCTGCAATGAACCACCAGAAAAGCCAGAGTGAAGCTTTGGCTCAAATGGTAGAGTACTAACCTTGAGCAAAAGTTCCTACATTGTCACAACCACGTTTCTCCACTCACTGCCCCATCTACTATTTATTCACCATCTCACTGAGATCTAGTGACTGGGCTGAGCAGGAAAAGCACCAAGTATAGTATAGATAGATAGATAGACAGACAGACTGACCAACCGACAGAGAGACTATAGACAGATAGAGATAGATAGACACAATAAAGAGTGGCAGTTCTGGGACTTGAACTCAGGGCCTATGTGCTGTCTCTGAGCTTCTTTTGCTCAAGGCTAGCACTCTACCACTTGAGCCACAGTGCCCCTTCTGGCTTTTTTTGTGTATGTGGTACTAAGGAATCGAACCTAGGACTGTTGAGGCAAAACACAAGTTAGCCACTTATGGGAAGGGACCACCCCAGTTACTGGAGAATGGACAGGTTGGTCAAGTTCCTGGCAAAAGCAGCTGTAGGGTCATAAACAGTTTAAAAATATAGTGTTGCCTACATCCTATGGTTAGTCTTCTGTATCCCAACCAATGATCTGCTTTCTATGTATGATTTAACCAATTCTGTAATCACTAAGGAAAGCCCCTACCCTTACTGGAAATGATTATGCCCTTAACCAATGAGCCTACCCTGAAACTTGCCCGCTGACCAATTATGTAGAAGCCTGCAAGCCTTAAGCCAATCGTGTAACTGCTAGGATGGAAACCCCCTCCTCTTGCTGGAAACTTTGTAAGAACCCTGCTGAACATGTGGCTGGGACTCTCAACTCTGACCTGCTGTGTCGATGACGATTTTGAGTCCAGGCTCAAGCTTGCAATAAACGACTCTCGTGTACTTGCAATGGATTTGGCTCCTTGGTGTCTTTGGGGGTCTGCAGCCTAGCACAACAGGACTTCATGCATGCTAGGCAAGCGCTCTACCACTGAGCCCTATTCCCAGCCCCCCTTTTTTTTTTTTAACTCACCTGCTAATTGCTGGCCTTCCTTCTGAATCTCTCAAAATAATTTGTGTCAACTTTTTTCCTAACCCTTTTCTAATGGGGTTCATAACCCAGCCCCCCCATCCTCCCTCACTGAACCCTCTAAGTTCTGGTGCTGTCCCAACACTAGATGAACAAGGAAATGTGGCAGAGCAGAGGGCGTAGGAGGCCATCATCCTCTATGGAAATGATGTGAATTGTTTTACGGTACATTTTGGAGGGTGTCTGGAAAGCCCTTTGTTCCTGTGTTCTGTCTTATGTGTTACTGAGTCACAGGAAATCACACCATAGGGAGGTAGTGGCTCCACGGTAATTGCCTGAGGTGCGGAGTTTCTTGGAATGCACGGTTCAGTAGCAACATGAAATAGTATCTGGAGGGGACCGGAAGGGTTCTTTCTAGCCCAGAATTCCAACACCCGGAGTCACTGCAACCTGAGTGACACTCCCACTGGAGAAGCTTTAAGAGCCTGGGCAGGGACAAGGCTTGAACTTTCGCCGCCAAAGCACACACTGGCTTAAACTTGAAGTGTTTCATTCTTTGCTCAGATACATCTAAAAGGTATTTTCAGGAGCTGAGAATTCTCAGGCATGTTGTTTTGTAAGCTGCACGATATGACTCTCTAACCTGTTGGGTTTGTTTTTTCCCCCCTTCCAGATTGTTTTGGCTCTTCAAGGTCCCTTTTAATTCTGTCTGAATTTGAAACATGTTTTTTTTTCAATTTCTGAAGAAAAAAAAAAGTATCCTAGAACCATTATTGATCTTTGTCCTCCAATGAAATTAAATTATTTTGAAAAGAGTTTGGTCCTTTTCGGTATTGCTCTTTAGCTTTGTTAGGCATGTCCAGAGGGACATTTAGCCTAGGGCAGTGGTTTTCAGCCAGGGGAAAAAAATCTGGCAATGTTCAAAGCCTTTTTGTTTTTTAGTCGGTATAGGGCTTGAACTCAGGGCCTGAGTACTGTCCCTGAGCTCTTTCTGGCTCAAGATTAGCGTTCTACCATTTTGAGCCACAGCTCCCCTTCCAGTTTTCTGGTGGTTAACTGGAGATAACTGAACCACAATCCTCCGATCTCAGCCTCCTGAGTAGCTAGGATTACAGAGGGGAGCTACCAGTACGTGGCTCTTTAAAAAAAAATTATTATTTTTAAGGTGTTGTATAGAGGAGTGCCATTTCTTCAGTCAGGTAATGAGTACATTTCATTTTTTAGACAATGTCACCCCTTACTTGGTTTCCTCCTCCAGGACACTGGTGCTGTAATCCTGGCTACTTGGGAGGCAGAGACAAGAGTACCGCAGTTCAAGACCAGCTGAGACACAAGGAAAAAAAAAAAAAAACACTATCAAGATCCTGTCTCACCGAATATGCCAGACAGAGGAGGTGAGTTTTGTCAGTGTGCGCTGGAATGCATGCAAATGTAACAACGAAGACTTCCTTTGCATAGCTAATGCATGCCAGAAGAATGGATAGGAGGGAGGGAGGGGAGGTGGGAGGGAAGGAGGGAGGGAAGAAAAACCAGACACCCAGCTCTGCAGAAGGCAGGGGTTAGGAGGATCACGGTCCAAGGCCAGCCTGGGCAAAAGTGTGAGACCTTGGCTGCAAAATAAATAAAAAGTGCTGTGGGCGTGGTTCAGGTGACCGAACACTTGCCTGGCAGGTGCAAGGCCTGAGTTCAAACCTGGGCACTGAGAATAAAATAAAGGAAGAGAGGAAAGGTGGAGAGAAAGGGAGGGACAGGAAAGGAAGAAAAGCACCTAAGGCCAAACACCGAGCTGCAGAGATGTCCTTATTACAGAGAACGGTGAATCGCAGCATTTCTCTAGCACTGAAGTGAGGAATCTATGGGAGAGTTCATTATCACCACGGCTAAGACTCCATCCTCCTCTACCGCCTCTACCGCATGACCCACACATTTGTTGGCTTCCAGGCTGGCTGGTAGGATCAGGCATTATTCCTGGTGTGGTGTGAGTGACCAAGCACATTGTTTCTAATCCTTCCAGAAAGTTCTTTCCCAGGTCTCTGGGTGGGTTTGTTCACACAAGTGCTAATCAGAGCTCCACCTATTATGGAAGTGATTACCAGCGCCTAGCAC